TGCAATGGAGAATCCTGGGGATGCCACATTAACCAAATGATCAAACTTAATATTACTATGATGGAGGAAGTTGGCCTCATGTGCCCACACTACATCATCTAAGTCCTGCCGGAAAAACTCAGACAACTCCAACCTGAGGGGCATTTTGCAAGAATGGCCTGGACTCTTCAAAAACGTCTATATCTGGAAAGACGAATAAAGGTGGGGAACCATTCTAGATCAAAGGATACTAAAAATGACAGCTAAATGATTAACCATTTGCTTGGGGAAAAAATACCTATAAAGGATATTCTTAGGACAACTGGGGAGATATGAATATGAACAGTATATTATATAACAGTATTGTAGAATGTTAAATTTCCTGACTCCCACTTATATGGGGCATATGTAGCGTGGTCTTTGTTTTTATGACATACATGTCGAAGTATTTAGGAATAAAGTGTCATAATGTTTCCAACTAACTCTCAAATGGTTCAGCGAAAAACCAAAACAAACCTGGAAGAGAGAAAGCAAACATGGCAAAACGTTAACATTTGGTGTATCTGTGTAAAGGTATCATGACTTACGTCGGCCTATGTGTGTCAGAGTAGAACTGTGCTCCACAGCCTTTTTAATGACTGATTTTTTGGAATTAGATTGCCCAGGCTTTTCTTCCGATGCACCTCTGGGGAGACTAGAATCTCCAAGCTTGTGGTTAGCAGTTGAGAGCATTAACTGTTTATACCACCGAGGGGCATGCATGGGGTCAGGTCACCATGAGTCGGAATTGACTCAACGGCAACTGCTAACTGGTAGGTGAAGGTATGTGGGTATTCACTGTTCTATTCTTACACCTTTTCTAAAGTTTTTTAATTATTCAAAATAATAAGCTGGAAAGAGAAAACTAGGTTTGAATTCTAGCTTTATCTTCATGTATAGTCTTAGTATGGAATACTGTTAAAATTAATGAACTAAGAAAAAATTAACCTTGACTTAAAACCAAAGGAAAAAAAATTCTGTATCATTTACCTCAAAAGCCTCCATAGCCACTGAAAGCAAGTCTAAGCTTCTCTGGAGTAGCTAGCCCATGGGCTACCTCAGGCACAGGTAACATAAATGTCCATGAGAAATAAGCAGAAGAGGCAAAGGCTACCCTCAACAAGTGACTGGCTCGGTTGTTCTTTTTTATTCCAGAACAAAGGGCCTCCTAGAACCTTCCAAATGAGAGAAAAAGAGGAGAGAGTTGGTAGCTGGTTTTGCTCCACTGAGTTTAGAAAACAAATTGACTGTGAGTTGTTTCTCTTTGAGATAAATTTTGACTCTGTTGTACCATTTGACTGTTTCCATAGACCCAAGACTAGCTGTGTTTTGGCCCATTTTTTAAAAAAAGACTTTACTGCAGGGTTTGGCAAATGAGCAGTGCCAAGCCCCTGCTGTTTTCCCTGGCCTGCAGAGTTACAAAAATGTTTAATTAGTTGCCAATATTTATGCAGTGCAATAGATCATTTTTATGTGGCCTTTCTAGCCATGGTCTTGTAATTCCCACCAAATGACCGGGTAGGGCTCTGCAAATAAGGTGCTTGTGGCCCACCAAGGGATTGGACAGCTTTCCAATAATGAAAATAAGGTGCATGGCACCCTTGTGGGTGGGGGTGTGATCATGCAAATAAGGTGTATGGAACGTTAACAAGAGGATTTGTCAGTTTTCCCATCCCACTAGGCTTGAAATAAGCCATCCCAGAGGCAGAAAGTGGGACCAAGAAGAAGAGACAGGAGCCGAGCGCAACCTTTTGACCCAGGGTCCCTGAGCTGAGAACTTCTTAGACCCAGGAGACAGAGAGTGAGAGCTGTAATACCGGAGATATCATAAGACTTCAAGAAACGGGCGGAAGACAGTACAGTGGGCTTCCCAACCTATGGAGCAAGGCAGTTACAGTGAGCCTGCCGACCCATGGAGTGAGAGAACTGAGAACCTTTGGGCAGGAGTCTTCCTCGTGGCGTGGAGTGCCTCTAGGCACTTGTCAGGGGAGCTAGGCTTACTGACCCACAGAGCAAGAGAGTTGAACTCCTTCAGGCTGAGGCTTTCTGGTGGAGTGGGGTGCCCCAGGCACTTACTGGTGGAGCTAAAGAGCTTTGTAAATCTTGCCCAAGCAGGGCAGAGGCTGGTCTGGCCCAAAAGGCCCAAGAGGCCCTAAAGGCCATGGGCCGGGGAGTGGTCTGCCTGTGGGCATGGCCGAGAAGCTGTCCTGACCAAAGAACTGTATCCTGAGTTGTTCCTGATGCTGAATTCTAACCTGTTACTTCCCTAATAAACCCCATAATCATGAGTATTGTCTGTGAGCTCTATGTGACCTTTGTAATGAATTATCACACCCATCAGGAGTCGAGAGTGCCGTGGGAGGGACAACTGGTTTCAGAATTGGCAAAAAGGTTGGAGAGAGGAGGTATGCCTGACCTCCCCTTCATAGGAATCAGCCTTGGGCTGATGCCAATGGCGATTCTCTCTCCCTTCAGGAAGTTAGAGAAGGAGGTCAGATGCTGCCTTCACGCCATTTTACAGTTGGTGCCATTTTTTTTTTACAATTTAAAAGTCAAGAGAATTCACATAAAATCCAGATTTCCAGAGTCTCTTGAAAAACTGGAAAATCTGGCAGTGCTATGTCCACATGCCCTTGGCAACCACTAGCTGGAGCTGGCATTGGCTTCTCTGTCTGGAGGGGACGTATGGTCTCCAGCTCCCCACAGACCCATCACTCCATCTTCTACCTGAAACATTCCCTCAGTTGTGTACTCATTTCTGTCGTAAGCAGGTCTCCAAGGGCAT